GACTACTGAGTGGGGCGAATTCAGCTGTCGGATAATCCATCCGTGAGCTTTTCACGTGCTCCGGATGATTTCATAAGAATGGTGCCATCATCAATTTATTGAGTGCCTTCTATATGCAAACGATAGAATTATGCCTTTGGTTGGAATCTGTCGCAGTACTGGGAAGCAGAATGTTGCTGCATCGAAGGGAGGGAGGCCGGGGAACTTAATATCCCTGGACGTCAGGACAAATTACTTAGTCTCAGTTTGCTCATCAGGAAAATGGGAATAAACAACACATCTTACCTCCTGGAGTTGCCAGGAGGATTCAAAGAAAAGTGCAGAGTGAGACAAAGAGTCAACATTAACGTTGGCCACTGCTAGTGCTAGTCACGTGGTTATCATCATTGGATGTGAGAGTTAAAGAACACAGGGTTTGCCAAATGGACTCCTGAGGGGGCCGGGGAAAGGAGACAATGTATGGGAATCTGTTCATTTGTTGGAATTTTTTTTCCTCCTCTGCAGCAGTCATTTTTAATTGGCATACGTTGGTGTCATTAATTTTCTCCTCGGAGAGCACCGGTGTGACACTTGGAGCAAACAAGAGGTAAACTGCTGCTCAGGCTACAAAGTGGCACCTACTTTGACTCTAGCAGGAGTGATCTTTCTATATGACGAAGTCGAGGCCAATAAACGGGAAAGAGACAAGGGCTGTTCCAACCTACCTCTCTGAGTAGCGGACAATAAAACAGTGAAGACGGCGGAGAGCAACCTAGGAAAACACTTTCCAAGTCTCCAGTGCCAAGAAAAGCACTTAAGACATGGGCTTTTTGGTGCAAAAACAATGAATACTGTTACGTTGAAAAGAAATTAAAAAAGAAAAAAAAAAAGAAATGGGCTTTTGAAGGGCGCCTGGGTGGCTCAGTGGGTTAAAGCCTCTGCCTTCGGCTCACATCATGATCCCAGGGTCCTGGGATCGAGCCCCGCATCGGGCTCTTTGCTCAGCAGGGAGCCGCTTCCTCATCTCTCTCTGCCTGCCTCTCTGCCTACTTGTGATCTCTCTCTCTGTCAAATAAATAAATAAAATCTTAAAGAAAAAAAAAAAAGAAACGGGCTTTTGAGACGCTTTATATTTTCATACCTTGGCACGTATTCACAGGTTCTTTCGCTCTGCTTGCTTCCAACCTCCTCCCCGTCCTTCCAGGGTGCGGCCCGGCCCCGGTCTGACTCAGACTGCTCTCCACATTGATGGGTCCTTTCGCTTTGGGGAGTCAAAGCATTCAAGATAACACGATAATACAACTTTTCAAGAAATAGGGAGTAAAGGTTAAAAAGAGACCCAGAAATGAATTATGGTTGGATTTGGCAACAACTGTGAAACCTCCCACTCTTCCGAAATTCCTTTTTGATCCATTCAAGGCTGCAACTTCCAAGATCAGAGGGCGTCTCTGACATTGGCCAGGTGCAACTCAAGCCGGCTGTGATTTGGAACGTAATGGAAAGTGAAACTAGATCACTCGCCCCAAGCTGCCTGAGTCACCTGTGCCTTCTTTAGAAGAGTGACAACACGGGCCAGAACAGAGAGGAGCCGCCAAGCTCACCTTCGTTATTCTCCATCTCACTCGACTGTTGCCACCAATCAAATCCCGTCCACTTGTTGACGGGGCTATGGGGACAGTCGGACTACTTTCAGAGACTCAATAAAAGGGACTGATCTTTTGACGAAGAGAATGTCTGTCAGAAAGCTGATGTATTAACTGAAAAAGACATTTTTTTCTACCAGGTATAGAAGTCAAGCTCTTCCCTTCTCGTCTTAAATCTCAGGTCTTGAGATACGGTAGGGTGCCAAATCAGTTAATTAACAAGTATTTACTGGACACACACCATATACTCTGAAGTATCCCACTGGCAATAAATCCTGTTTGCGTCCAAGTAATGATAGGGCAGATTCTACTAGGGAAAACAAGAAAAAGCCCTTCAAACCATTAATGAAATGTCACTCCATGTTACTGTGATCATATAATTTTGTATTTATCTCATCACAGAATGTTATATATCAGGGGTTCTAGCAGAAATTCTAGAATTCAACTGTAAGGCGGTGAAGGGGAATGTTGAGTGTGTCTAGACTTCGCTTGTTCCCAACCAAGAGGATTAACTGTTTAAATTACGCATTACGGTGTAGGTCAAGTTTGTACAAAGTTAATAATATACTACTGATTTGTTTAATATACTACTGATTTGTTTCTCTGTGTTCTAGAACACTTGGGATTTCACTCACAAACTAAGCCATTTTAACAGATGTTTTTATGTCCCATATTCTCATTATATTCCTTCAACCTCTGAAGCACATTGTGTCTTCTATGGCTTCATCGTGTTTTCCTCTCCACCACCTCTTTCTTTACCATGGAGACTGCTTTTCAATATTCTACAATCTCTTGAACTCAAGAGAAAAGTGATTTCTATACAATTTGTGTCTCTAAAATCCTATTCCACTGAAATACAAACGACTGATTTATTTGAAATTTAGAAGTACTTTTCTTGATTTGAAATTTTACACAATGCTTCACTCAGTCTCAGTGACGAAGTTCAAACTTTTTTAAACCACGCGTGTGCTGAAGTCAGTTTCTTACAGTGGCTCAAGAGTAAATCTGGATCTCTGCTCTAGAACTCATTTCTGGGGTCTGCGTTTAATCACGGCCCTGGAAGTCACCAGCCTCTGTCAAGTGAGTAGCAATAGTTCAAACTGCAGAAATTACAGGAAAGGTAGAAATCAGAAGAACTGTGAGGGAATCTTGACTGGAAACACTTTAGAAACAACTGAATGAAATCTCTGCTGTTTATGAAAGGCTATACGACATGTTTGTACACTAATAGCAACCCACCCCCCACGTATATAGATTTCACTTACAGATGGTTGCAAACTAATTTTCTATGATCCTATGATACTTTACGTAATTATCTGTAATTAAATTAACACAAGGTAAAAATAGTCAACTTCAAATAAACTAAAGTATTCAAGACAATCACTCCGCCAAGCAACATTGTTTTTCGTAAGAGAAAGTATCACATGCAACGAAGTGGCAAAAACAGAACAGAGTGAGCTGTGGTTAAGTGTAAATCCTACAGCAATGAAAGTCATTTGTATTATCCTTACTTCTTTGAATAAATTCAGATGACAGCTCTATTTCATTTCTTCATTCAGTTTGGAGACCAGATGGCATTAGAATCATTTACTTCACCTTGTTGTGCTTAATTACTACAATCAACACACTATTTTCCAAATTAATCATAACAAAGTAATTTCATTAGTAACACAGCAGGCTGTTGAATTATTAGCATCATAACAGTTTGCAAACAATTAAACTTTATTTGAACCTTAAAAATTTGCAGAGTGGAACATTATTGTAAGATCTAATGGCAATAGAGTACAAATTCAGTACAGAGCAAATAATCAAGCAAAATGCTATATAAAATATGACTTACAATCACCTTTGAAAAAAATTAGCTCTCTAACTGTTCATAGAAAAACAAATAAAAGCTAAGCAAACATAATGAGAACATAGTAATTAGCATATTTTCTAACAAGCCATGTTGTTTAAATGCACATTAATGATATTATTATGATCTTGAAGAGAGTGTGATATATTGTCAAGGGTATAAAGAAAACTTTCTCCCTGGTAGTATACAAATGATTTTGCCAAATGAATATAAAGTAGTCATGAGTTGAAAGTAATGATTATTTTCCCTGTCACTTTCATTTTAAATCTTTTGTCTCCTTTCTTATTTCCCACCTACGTTCAAGTTAAACAAGAACAAAGGCCAGAGGAGCTCTGGACAGAAGTAACACTTTATATCTGTATTGTCACCATTCACAGAGACTGTCTGGTTTGGAATTGTTGGTCATCAGTTGGCAAAGGACTCCCTCTCCTGGATTAACTGTAAAAGGAGGCAAAAATCTTTTACATGCTTTACATTCTGCTCAAGCTTGTGCCCGAGTGGGGGAGGGGGTGCCCAGGGCTTAGGTATGCGATGAAAAGCTGCTGCCACCTACTGGCCCAGCCCTGAAATCGTCACTCAAACCAGAAGCCCAAAACTTGTATCTACAACCGACTACACGTTCAAGGGAAACCCATAACTGCTTTTTGCTTTTCAATCTCTCAGCCTTTGAAAAACAGACTGCTAAATTTATCTCCGGTCATCTCACTTTTGCCAAGATGATTTCAATCGACTCCGATGGCTCTCTATTAGGACAAGATTAAACGAGGGCACAAATTAATTTCTGAAAGCTCTAACTCGACGTCTAATTTACGTAAACGAGAGTTTACCCACAATCCCAAAAACTAAAAAATCAGTTTCACTACATTTGAATTCAGATGATCACAGCAGTAAGAAGACAATGGTAAAACGTAAGTTCTGAAATATTGCTTAAAACAATTTTCTATAAATAAGGGAGGGTTAAATATCAGTACGTTCACAGCTAGAATCTTTATAAAGCAAAGATCTGGAAAGTTCAACAAAGGTAGTGGCTACTAATCAATGATTCAATATTAGGTGACTCTGTAATGATCCAATCATCAGTACATTTTGGAAGATAGATATAGATATAGATATAGATATAGATATAGATATATAGATATAGATATATCACGGCCACACTGATACCCCGTAGGAATTTACAACCCCCCTGATTTCAAACATACAGGAAAAGGTCAGGTTATAACTGCACAAAGCCTGCTCGGGCAGCCCAGCACATTCCTCTCAAGTCAGGCTTTCCCTCCACCTTCCCACTCACCTGTTGGTACCTGTTCCCACCATGACTTCCAGGCTCTCCTCTCGGAGCCCTTCCTTTCCTCCTCATGGCTCTGAGAAGCACAGCGCAAACTCCCCCCTGGAGCCCTACTGTTTTGTGGCGGGAACTGAACAGCACAGCGATGAGCAGGCACCTACGGACAGTGCTCCATTAGACCTTCTCACTTTGAGAATACAGGGGGATCCTCTGTGCCGCTGTATGAGGCAGGAGGGGCTTTCCAATGAATTTTTTTATTTTATTAAATTTAAACACAACTCTGGTGGAAAATGTTGGCCAGCCCGTCTCCAAGGCGGGCTGTGTGTTCCTGATAAGGGGCTTCACGCACGCTGTGGCTCTGGGCTGCACATGTGTCCTGGGGGCTCTGTCATTCTTTCTTTCCTGTGGCTTTCTTCAACACGAGGTAAAAATCAGTCCAAATTCTTTCATGAAAACATGTCACTGTGTGAAAAATCAGCACCACGATCGATCCTCTACAAAGTTTGAACAAAGCCACAGTCTTCAGATAGCATCTACCAAAAGCTTACATGATAGATTTAATTAAAATTTCCATGAAATTATATATTACACTCTAAAATATCACTGACATCCAATAGGAAGAGAAATTACCGAAATTACCGAAAGCAGCAGTGACTGTGAGGTACATATAAAATTGGGCTGAATTCTTCACACAAATCAAACGAGCAAATAAAAACTAGACTTCCGTCCTCGCAAAACAGCAACAGGTACAACTTTACTGCTTGTCTCCAACTTAATTAATATTCTTTACTTAATTTCACATCAGAGGAATATTATAATGAATGCATAAAATAACAAAGAAAAATGTTCAACAAAACACGAAAAGGTTACAAACTGCCACTCATGCTCTCAAGTTGATTTTAAATCCAAAGCATTTACAGACGAGCAGGAGAATCTTCCTTTTCTGTAGGCCAAAAAGGAAAGCTGCATTTGAATTTTTTTCTTCAGGTGAAATGTTGATTTTTCCTGCTTAGAAAAAAAAATACACTTTTAGGCAAGGAAAAATGAGTATTTACTCAACATTTTGTCAATTCAGCTCTTCAGAAAGGCCAGAAAGAATGGTATTTTACTCAAGAAGAGAAGGTCTGAGAAAACATCCAGTTATTAGCAAAGGGACTTTATCTAAATAATCTATTTCCAAAGTAAATTCTATGAAGTTATTTTAAAAATCAAACCAGATTTTTTTTAAAAAGAAGAGGATATGGGAGCATGATCTTTGTGCTATCAGAAAACTACAAAGACTTTTCAAAAGGCAAAGACTCATAACACAGGGACCAAGAGAACATATGAGCTATTACAGAATATTGGATTAAAATGTACTTACCCAGGACTCTCAAATATCATACATCTCCATTATGTAGGCTTTCGGCACCAAGCCAATGGCTCCCTTCATTTCTCCTACCCACCAGCCATATCTATTGTATTCCTAATTGAAAACAATATGCAATATTAACCTTTAGACTGGTATAAGTACAATGTCGTTTATATGCAACTTCTTAGAAATGTTATTTCTTTTTACAAAGTTACAAGAGCTTGAGCTGCAAATTGAAACATTTTAATCTTTTTTCCTTTGTTTCTGGACACTTAAAAATGCTGTTAGGCAACAATTTAAATTAACATATAAGACAAAGCCTGGTTATTACTCTGTATAGCACACAGAAACAGTCACTTGGGATAAGAACCTAGCAAATGGAACTACATGAGGAAGTCAGCTCCCTGGGCCCATTTCCCTTCTCCCTTCCTCCCTCCTCTCTCTCTCACTCTCTCACTCACACACACCCACACACAGAGCCTGGGCAGACACCTTTTCTGTGCGAACACCAGTGCTAGATGCTACAAGGTCACAGCAAAGACCCTTAGGATACGATCTTGGCCTTCAAGAAGCTTATCATCTAGCAAGGAAAGAATTATTTTTTCACAATAAACAGATTCTTAGTTAAACTCATATGACTGAAAATTATTTCGAAGGCAGATGTATGCCCCTTCTTAAGAAAATCTAATACATTAGTATAGATATTTTAAACACATAAATGAGGAAATAAGAGAACACTAATAATATCCAAAAATATTTGCTTTACAAAATAATTTTTAAAGGCTCCTCTTAAAAAGCTTCCCCAAGGCATGTACTGTTCAGCTTTCCCTAATCAAAAACTATATTAGATAAAGGGTGGGTGATAGGAATTAAAAGGTGGTGTTAGGTTTGCCCTCAGAGTAGAAGATCAACAAGAAATAAAGTATCTCAAGTTACAAAGGTGAAATATTAATCCAGCTGTAAAAAAAGAGTGATTGATGAGACACTTTGGGGTATACTTTGCAACGGGAGATAAACCCATACCTGCATTTGTCCCCTTTGCCTCCACTGAGAGACCCCACTGCTGTCGGCATTGTGAACACACAGCGATGGGCCTCATATGTCTGCCAGATTGACTAATGTATTTTTGTCTCAAATTTATTTATGTTTAGTGAGATACAAACAAAGTAAAATGAATTACAAGTTTCAAGAATAATATCTTCCAAAAGCAATACTCCACAAAAGCACTGTAGGACCCAAATTTAATTTTTCATGGAAGATAAATTTTTAAAATCAATCCCCAAAGTAATTCAGTAGGCTATGATTTTCCAACATCTGAGTCATAGATAAATGTGCATATGCATATCGAGTTACACGTGGGGAGGGAATGTTCATACTGGCACAGACTTAACATCTGTATTGATTAGTATATGCCATTGGCTATCAGAAAGGAAAATCATACAATTCCTCAATACAAATGTAGCAACGTTGGCATGTGTGTATTGACATGTAGTCTATCAATAGACAGAATATCAGGTTAAAATCTGTATGTGCTTTTTAAACAGTGGGTTGTTCCAGGATCAGGCTAATTGGAAGAATAAGGTGGAAGGAAAAGGTGGGATGGGGGGGTCAGGCTAACCCTACGCTTCTTATTCTAATGAGGGTACAGCTCTGGCTCATGGGGCAGAGGACTCAAGATTTTAAGTTTCAAAGTTCAATGTCAGTGTGAATTTAGTGGATACAACTATCTAAGGGATGAAAATAGTCTGATGCCTGAACTCAGTGACGGTGGCTAAAATCTATGTAGGATCTATTTATCAGAAGGAAACACCAACTTACTGAAAGCTATGATTAGCAACCATTATATCTTAATAGGTACCTAATAAAACTGCCCTTCTCAATTTTTAAGGTAATGAATACAATTAGGGCCTAATGCTTCACAAAACAAATGTATTTAACCTTCCGGAGGCAAAAGGCCTACATTGTAAGATTTCAAAATGGATGGTTACCAGGCTAAGTCTGAATATGAAAGTCTTACCAATGCCAGCCTAACATTTTTTTAAAAATTGATTATTTGTAAAGAGTAAAGGAACTAGCCCCCTCCCCCCCAAGAGGCAGACAGAGCACATTCGGCTTGAGGGTGTGTGAACACCAGAATCTGCTTTCCGAGAACGGCCCTCCATCCGGGGCTCCAGGCTTACATGCAAATGACACTTACCTCACTTTATAACATTCCATTTTGGCTATCATCTGTACTCTCAAGTAAGGGCACATTCCTGTTCTCAAAAAGCCCACTCACAACCAAATTTAAGAAACTGATTTCCGAAGAATCATTTCACCGAAGGACCAGTGACATACCTCACACCTGAGAGAATTCTGCCTGACGGCCACTGGTAAGATTTATTTAATAGAAAGGATGGGCGGAAACAGGAGGGAGGAGCTTAATCAGCTGCAAACACATCCCTTAAAAGTATCATTCTAGGAAAACATAAAAGTTTCAGACGCCAATCATCTTAAATGCTTCACTTAATTTAAAATAACTCAAAAGCATAGGAAATTGGCTCATAAAAGTACTCTAAAATATCACAGGTTTAAATCAGAAAAGGGTAAAAAAAAATCAGAATGTTTATTACTTTACATTTGTAAAGAATTCCATGGAACACTCCTGTGTGGCATTAAGAGGTAAGATAAAATACAGTGAGGTAAAAATCTAGGAGGCAAATTTATGGATTTACACTGAGGCCATTAGAGTATGTCGACAAGATTGCAAACACAGAAGCTTTTACTTTTATCATTACCATCCTCTGTATGAGCCTCCGGAGCAACATGAATCCCAATTAAACCATTTGCTGCCTATAAATTGGAATGAAGATGCTTCTTGGAGTACGATATTCTAAACTTGAGCCTCAAGATTCGATACCATACAAGCTTTCCCTTTGAAGAAAGGACTCTGCCTCTTTGCCTTCCCTATTTTCCGCTCCCAAATAAATGTGATGGCAAAGGACAGATTACTTACACGTGGAAAATAATGCAATCCATAGTGTTGCCTTACCGTCCACGTACTAATTATAGTATTGTTCTAGAAGTCACAGGTGGATCATTAAAAAAAAAAAAGAAAGAAAGAAAGAAAAAAGATAAACACCCCTCAAGCCTTATCTTGTTATTAAACAAAAAAACAGAGCAACAAACCATACCAGGCTATCATCTAAATCTCTCAAAGGTTAGGAAGCATCATGTCATCTTTACAGCGCACGAGATCTCAGGTACAAGAAGGTTTGCCATCTGGCGTCCTTCACCCCACTCGCCTTTTAACATCCACTAAAATGCTAACATAGGCAAGTGACTGCGCTTCGGGAGGACTGATAAAATAATGAAGAGTCCTTTAATCTACAGGAAACCATTCCAGTCAATTTATAAGAAATATTACATCCCTTTGTAGGACGTGTAATTATTTTCTATTAATCATGTGCTATAAAGCTACATTATGCGGTTATTCTGTTATCACTAGAAAGAGGCCTGCAGTCAGCTTCTGACAATGTTAGGTAATTACTAACACAAAGCCTCTTTCTCTTCCCGTAGTAATGCGATCAAGATTCAGAGGTGTAGTGATGCTTAGTGTATAAAAATAGTACTCAAAAGAAATCCAATATCTGTAAAATGGATGGCTTCCAGGCAAAATGTAATGTGGCAGTCAAAGCAGGGAAAAAAAAAAAGTCCAAACTTGCCCAATAATCCGAGAAAATAATCGTAAAGCGGCATGGCACCGTTGCGCTCTAACTCCTCTGTTTTCAATTTTCCTGCCATTAAAATAGTTTTTATTTGTTTTATTTTATAGTCAAATTTTCGGCCTCAGCTAATCGTTACTAGGCAATAAATGCAAGCGATTATGTAATTGGGGCCGGGAGAAAGGACGGGTCCTGATCATGTGAAACCAGCACGACAGTAAACATTATGTCCGTATTTCAACCATTCACTAAATCTCTGCTCTCTTGCCAGTGTATTATTTTACACTTAAATAAGGCCCTGACATATCACTGGAATCCTTCTCGGCACCATGATTCTCATCTCTTAAGTGTGTTAGTCCACTTTCTGCAAACCCCGTGGTAAAAGAATGTTGCCTTAACAGAAACTGGAAACACTTAAAAAGATTTCCTGATGCGTACTACCCCAGCATTCCACAAACTAGTTACCAACCTGTCTGAACGCAACAGGTGTTAGAAAGGTGGAAAGATGACCTGTCCTTTCTCTGAACATGTATCTGTGCTTGGGAACATTTTATCCTTTTGCAGAAATGAAGTTAATTTGATTCACAAAATATAAAATGCATTGACTTTCACAACCAGGTGACTTTACCACTGTTTTCCAACTATTCACTGTGATAGTCTCAATTTTTCATAAACATTATGGTAGTATGAAAACTAGACACCTATTTAAAATACAGACATAAATTCTTCAAGGCTACCTCTTCAATCTTTTCCTTTTTACTATCTCCAACTAGAAACTGTCTAAGCTTCCTTTCATTTCTTATAAGCCCGTCATTTCGTCTTGGAAAATGTCCAACAGGAACCTGACAACCCCAGTGTTTTACTATTATTAGCTACACATTAACTCCTTGAATCTTAGTCTCTGAGCTGATAAATGAGGAAATCGACACTAACCCTCTTCAAGATCCTCCATGATGTCTGAACAGCACCCTCCATGAACCTCCTTTAAGACACTGAGTCTCTTGGCAGCTTATGGAAATCAACCTCATTACTTTATAATTCATGGTGCAGGTGTGACTTTGAGTTACACTAATTCAAAGAATTATTTTTTTTTCCTTTCTGTACTGTGAGCTCCATGTTTAAAGCAAGAGAGACAAAGGACAAGCAAGGAAGCTAATAATAAGAATTTAGTTATTATAACAGGTTAAAGCCTCTGCCTTCAGCTCAGGTCATGATCTCAGGGTCCTGGGATCGAGCCCCGCATCGGGCTCTCTGCTCAGCGGGGAGCCGGCTTCCCCTTTTCTCTCTCTGCCTGCCTCTCTGCCTACTTGTAATTTCTCTCTCTGTCAAATAAATTAAAAAATCTTAAAAAATTAAAAAAAAAGAATTTAGTTATTATAACAGATCTTCATTTATATTCCAGAGTCAAGA